AAAAAAATCTTTATGTTTGGACAATGTGCTTTTTTTTTTGAGATGGAGTCTCACTCTGTCACCCAGGCTGGAGTGCAGAGGCATGATCTTGGCTCACTGTAACCTCGACCTCCCAGGTTCAAATGATTCTCCTGCCTCAGCCTTCTGAGTATCTGGGATTACAGGTGTATCCCACCATGCCCAGCTAATTTAAAAATTTTTTTTTTTTTTTTGTAGAGACAGTGATCTCACTATATTCCCTAAGCTGCACTTGAACAGCTGGACTCAAGGGATCTTCCCTCATTGGCCTCCAAAAGTGCTGAGATTACAGGTGTGAGCCACTACACCAGCCCTAAAACATCTATTTATTTATTTTCTGATATGGTATCTGCCCTTTCGGTAATGCTAGGTTTTCAATTGACTGGATTTGATTTGCTTTGCATTCCCATAGTGAACAGTTCCTTTAGGTAGATGCCCTTTCATCCTGGTAGCTATTTCACCTCCTTCCTCCCTTTGCTCACAGTGAATTAGGTAATTATCAGTCTTAGTAATCTCCATTAGGAATTTCTTTTCCACAGTTAACAACAAAGCTCTGTTTTCATTTCATTTTATTTTTTGACTCCTGATTTTATTATTTAATTTCTTTTTTTCATTTAGTCTGCTGTGGTTGGGAAGCCTTGCCTCCCAAGAGCAGAGTCAGTTGGAGCTGGTCGTTGTTGGAAGAGAGCGTGTTGGGGAACTGGGATGGGGGCAGGGGGACCCCCACTCTGCTGGCGGTCCTGGGTGGAGAATAAGAACTGTACTTCAGAGCCCGGGGTGTGGTGGGAAGGGGATGAGGCAGGAGCAGCAATCTGGGGAGGTGGGGCCCACCTCAGTCCCCAGCTTCATTTTCTTCTACTGTTTCCTCACTGGTGGCATTCTCTGCAGTCTTGGAGACCTTTTTTTTTCTTTTTCTGGGTTTTTTGACTTGCAGAACTCTAGGGGAGGGCCTTTAGCTCTGTATCCTCGACCTCCATCTCAGACTTGTAGAGGTCAGGCTTGAAGGGACCACTGGTTTACTGCATAAGGCTAATGGGCATGAGCAGAACTATAAATTTAAACTGGGCAACAAATTCACCCTCCTTCTCATAGAGAACATTAGACGGTTGCAGCAGTTCATGTTTGGCACACTTCACCACACCCATCTGAGGCTTCTTCTCATCTTAAAATGCTCTTAAAATAAGTGACCTGACATCAAAACGCCTTTCCATCTCACTGAAGAAGGCACATGTAGTTTTCATTTTCAGTCCGTAGTGTTTAGAGGGGTCTCATTTGTAAATAGTGGTTCTCTGTCCTGTATCCTTGGTCTTGCCCTCTCCTGAGCTGAAGAGAACATCCACAGCATATAGTTCATGTACCTCAAATTCAGCTTTTTCATGGTCCTTCTGCTGGTCTGTGCAATTCTGGTTAATGTTTTTTCCCTCCATCAATGACATGCTGCTTCAACTGGTTTGACAGCATACCTCCTCTTGCAGTGCAGTTAAATGAGTGGGCAGCTTTGTTCTGAGCTTCTGTCTCTTGTGTGTTCTGGTTTCTAGGTTTGACCAGGTGTAGGGCAGCTTCAGCACAAAGGTGAGTTGCCTTAATAACATCTGCTTTCCTCCCTGTTACTTGGGTCCCCTGAGCTACATCAACCACAGAAGTATGAGCTACATTAGTGATGAAGCCATTCACATGGACCCCAAGGTCAATTTTTACCAACATACCTTCCTTGAGAATATAATCATGGTTGCTCTTCAAAGGGGAGAAGTGACACATACAGTTGTTTACTAAAATGATGGTGGGAAAAGCAATACCTTTTTTCATTTCCTTTTTTTTCCTCAAAGACTTTCCCTGTTTCTTCCGTAATCGTGGTATCTGAGCTAAATGCTTCCACCAAGGACCGAAGTACCTGGTTGGTGGTGTCGCCCCCCATCTTATATTTGGTCACAACCAGGTCCTTGGCAATAGTTTGCTCCTGCTGCTTGTCGTCGCCTGATATCTTCCTACCACCATCACTGGCAGCCTCGTTTTCCCTGAGCCGCCACCTCTGTCTCCCTTCCCAGCCACAGGCTGTGGTCTGAGCCCCCTCAATCCTCAAGGAGAGGGCCAGCAAAACCTCAAGCAAGAAAGGGAGCCGCAGGCAGGCAAGAGCAAAGCTCTGTTTTTAATGAAGAGGTCTTTTTGTTTCATTTTTAAATACCCAGAGGCTCATTCTGACAAGTTTTCAGCTTCTTTGTAGCTTTCTTTATCTTCACTACATGGCAAACAATACAATGTAACCTTTTCTGTAGTCTGCCCCTGTCTGCCAAAGGGGGAAGGAAATCAAATAGGAGAGACAACTTAGAGCTGAAGGTTGTCAGAGAAGTAAAATGTTCTTACGAGGTGGTGCTGCGAATAAAGGGCATCCACGCAGGTGTGCCTGACCAAATTGATGGCTTTTGGGTGTGCATTGATATTTGGTATGGGGGAAGGGCCATTGAAGAGGTTTTGTGTTGGAACACCTGGAGAGCAAAGAGAGGGGTGTGGTTGGGGGTGAGTGGAGGAGACAAGGTGGTTGGTGGTTGTGGTCTAGCCTGGGTCAGGGAGAATTCCAAGTTCTATAGCAAGATGGGCTACTGGAACAAGTGCTTTTCAGAAACAAGGCGTCTCACTGTGCTCCGGTAACAAAGCGGCATGGAGGGAGGAAGGGAAAGGGGTTATCAGCTAGATATTGAGTCTGTCCCACCTGTAACATTTTCAGGTTTCAGAACAAGAGTTCAACTGGGGATCCACATACCATATGTCTAAATATTTGAAATGTTTAAATCAATGAATACAACATGTTTTATTTAATGGTTTATCTACAGTTATCATTATGACACCTGTACCTTCATAATGACCTCAAAGGCCAGGTTGGGTTCTAGAATTCTGACTCCTGCCCCAGCGGTGTGGGAAGAACTGCTCCCCTTCCCCCTCCCGCTTTAGAAATATTTCAGACCTACACAAAATTGTAGAAAACATTACTATAAACATCCATGTATCTACTACTCAGCTTAAGAAATGTCACATTACAAATACAGTTGATGCCTGCTGTGGAGCCTTCTCTACTTGAATGCCCCTCTCTTTCTTTCCCTGAGAGGTAACCACCGTCTCAAGTGCTTGTCTTTCAAATGCACACCTTTCTGTATGCTTCATTTGTACCCATCTCTTACATGCACACCTTTTAGTCTCTATGTATATACCCACAATCAATTTATGGTGATCATTAGTATGTTTTCTTAGAAGTCATATACATGGTATCATGTTTGTATCCTTTTGGACCGACTTTTTCCTTTATGCAGGCCGCAGCCCCTGTGAGTTCTAGTCTCCTCCCCAGCCCAGCCCTTGCTGTCCCTTTTGGTTTACCTGAAACAGCCCCTAGCCAGTGAGTTAAGGCCGGTCTGACAGGAGGTGAAGCACAGCTTCTTCCTCTGTTGCTTGAAACCAGTGGCTCTCCAACCTTAGTGTTCATCAGAAGCCCCTGGGGGACTTGTTAAAACACAGCTTGCTGACCCCACCCCAGATTTTCAGATCCCATAGGTCTTGGGTGGAGTCTGAGAATTCCCAGGTAATGCTGATGATGCTGTTTGGGGAACCAAACTTGGAGAACCACTGCTCCAGATCAAAGTCTGGACCCAAGCTCAGCAATACCATGTGGCCTCCAGGCAACATGGGCCATCCATGAAGTTTTCTTCAAAACCATGCTCTAGAGCAGCACTGTCCAATAGACATACAATGTGATCTACATGGGTAATTCTAAATGTTCTAGTAGCCACATTAAAAAACAAAGAGAAATCAATACAAACTTTACTATTTTGATTCAAGTATTATCATTTCAATGTGTAATTAGTATAAAAACATTAGTAAAACATGCGATATTGACACTTACAGCATATATTTAAACAGAATATCCATATTACAAGTGCTTACTAGCCACAGCATTGGCTAGTGACTAAGGTAGTAGACAACACAGCTCTAAAGACTTGAGCCCCATCTCGCTCTTTTCAAAAATTGTTTTAAACTTGACATTTTAATTGATTTTTCGTTGCACTAAGTCTTACCAAATGTTGGAAAGTAATACCTTTCAATGAAGGTATCGTGGCCCAAAACAAAGAGGTAAAGGAGAGATTTGAGTTAGGATTATTATTGAAAAATCTGCCCATGTTTCAGTTTATTAATTTAAAGTAAACTTTTATTTTTAACTTGAACAAACACTGTCAAATACATTCAGGAAAGTTAGCTGTCACTGGATATCACTTTTGATGTAATGAACTTTGTAATGTCAGGTGTTAAAATTCCCAGAGGCATCTGAAACAAACAAACAAACAAACAAACAATGAGCAACAGAGTCTTCTTTCTATACCTCCTAACTGCAGAATGAAATGAGAGAAAATAAATAATGGTACAACATTAACTGACACCAGTGACTTTCTAAATAGAAGAAAATGGCCAGGTCTGTGTATATCTGCAACATTTGTGTGCTATATTTTAAATCAGTAGAGAAGAACACCTTTTCCTTTTGTAACTCACAAACTTGGATAGTGGGGTGTTTGTGGAACTGAAGGTTTCATTCAGATGATCACACCAACCTTGTCAGCCTAGCACTAGAAAAGCTTGTTGTTTTTGTTTTTACATGAGAATCCATTCTCATGTAAATAAATCTCTGAAGCTTCATCAGCCTGTGCTGGTTCCAAAAATGATATTCCCTTACCCTCCCAGACCCTTGGTTTCCATATCTACCATATAGAAAAGAAGCTGTTAAGAAATATACAACTGTGAAAATGCAAAAAAAGAAAAAAGAAAATATTAACTATTTAGATATATTCAAAGACAGATATACCTTAAGACTTAATTACTAATTCAGTGATAAACACATATTCTTTTCATCTGTGACATAAAATACAAAAATATATAGCTAAACAAATATTTAGGTATTAGTCATTAAATGTGGTCCTACTTGAAATTCTTAGCTTTTTGCTATTTGTTAGTAGTCACTTTGTAAAAAGCATTGGAGTTGTCTCCTAGTTACTATGGGGAGCCTGCATTTCTGTGGTCAAGTAATGAAGGCCCAACTAATGCATGGCCCAGCCTAGTTAGCTGCTGTGTCTGGCAACTGCTGTGTCTGGCAACCAATATTGTACACAAATATTGGTCTTGGTAGTAGGTCTGATTCATTTGCCACTTGTTAGCAGTTTTGCAGCTAGAGGACAAAAGACCTCAACATGAACAAATGAGTAGCCATGAAGTATATTTCAGACCACATTGCAGTTCATATTACTAGGTACATGAAAATTCTAGTAGCATTTTAAGTAAATTAAATTGAATTTTAAAGCTAATGTTAAACTTTTTATTAATTAATTTACTGGGAAGTTTTGAAAAAAATAAAATTGTCAGTAACAGGTAAATGCCAGGAATAGTTGAGTGATTCTCAAAGCTATACACAGATACCTGGATTTTCTTGCTTCCCCTCTGCTGTGTCTAGGTCCCTTTGGAGTTCTTCCTCTTGTTTTTCACATCCTTTTCTTTTTCTTGTTCTTTCTTTTCTTCATCTGCAGCATCTTGGGCCTCCTCATCCCACTTCTCAGGCTGCGATTTAGTGATTTCTTTAGTGAAGAATAATACAGACATTGGGACCAGTCATTCACAGAAAATATAGTCTAATTTATAACTAGCAGTGGCATCTAGTACTCCAACCTCAGGAAAAGCAGGAGGATAGACTTAACTAAGAAAGGAATAGCTAGGCACCTTCCTACTGGTTTTCAGAACAGTTCCATGGCCCTCATGTGGCTGCTGCTTAATCATTTCTACAGTGACACTATTTCCCTTTTTTCCAGTAAATCTCCCACCCAATGCTGGTGACTATGTCTAGTTCTTTGGAGAAGAAGAGATCAGAATCACCAGGTCTGATTGCATTCTATGGTGCTTTGGTCAGAACTTTGTTGGGGAAATATTTGTTTGCCTCGAAAGACAAATTCTAAGGTGAAGCTCGTTGGTTCCTCACCCCCCTGAATGTTTCATTTTTACCGAGGTCTCCTGTTTCACTTGATCTCATCTGGGGGATCAACTTTCTAAGAATCTTTACATTTTGAGGCTGAGGTGGGCAGATCATGAGGTCAGAAGTTTGAGACCAGCCTGAGCAACATGGTGAAACCCCATCTCTACTAAAGATAGAAAAATGAGCCGGGCATGGTGGTGTGTGCCTGTAATCCCAGCTACATAGGAGGCTGAGGCAGGAAAATGGCTTGAACCCGGTAGGCAGAGGTTGTAAGTAGTGAGCCGAAATGGTGCCATTGCACTCCAGCCTGAGTGACAGAGCGAGACTTTGTCTCAAAAAAAAAAAAAAAGAATCTTTATATTTTTGAAAAACCGTGAACCAAAAAGGATGCCTGCCATTTCCTGCTCTTTTCCTTTGGGTGTCCCTTCTGTTTCCTGTGGAGCTCCCTCCTGAACCCCTATCTACCCGGCCATTCATCTGTGGGCTTGCAAATGACATCGATGATCTCAGATCTCCTATCAGACAGAGGTTGGTAGAGGGTGGCATGCTTTCTGAAAATCAGAGGTCCTTATAGAAAAGGGCTTCAACTTATTGGGACATGTTCGGCCTTAAGTTTCAGGAGGGCCCTGAACCCCGCTTTACCACCCGCTTCCACCAGCTGTGCCTGCACTGTGGCCCTGCCCAGAGCCCTCGGGTGCATGTGTTCCCACCTCCCCGCTGCTGCCACTAGCCTGTTCCTCACCTTTGGGGGCTGTGGCCTCCTCTGCGGCTGGTTCCTCTGCGGCCGGTCCCTCTGCTGCTGGTTCCTCTGCGGCCGGTTCCTCTGCTGCTGGTTCCTCTGCGGCCGGTCCCTCTGTGGCTGGTTCCTCTGCGGCCGGTTCCTCTGCTGCCGGTTGCTCTGCAGACGGTCCCTCTGTGGCCTCCTCTGCAGGCTTCTCCTCTGTGGCCTCCTCAGCTGGCTCTTCTGCAGGCTGCCTTGCCATCTCGTCGGGTTCGGCCGGCACCACAGGCTCTGGGACTGACGCGGCCTCCTGGATCAGGCCCTGGCCATCGCCCTCTGGGCCTGGGGTCCCCACGCTCAGCCTCTGAGGTGCCCCCAGCCGGCGGGGCTCGCCCGAGCGATTGAGTGCAGCAGCACGGGCCATCCCCATCAGGCGGCCACAGTGACGGGGCCCCATCACGATGTGGTCGTTGTGATAGAGGCGGCGGAGAAGGGAGTAGACCAAGTCGAGTAACACAAAGCGAACACCCATCATGGGGTAGCGATGAGCGACCGCGACCAAATTGAGGTTGTGGTCCACGTCCCCCTCTTCCTCCTCCTCCTCCTCCTCTACCGGCCCAATGTCCGAGTCCTCCTCGACGCTCCTGCCCCTGGGGGCTGCAGCCAGGTCTGCTGCCTGCTCACCCTCCTCCACCCTGAGGCCTTCCATGGGCCCTGAGTCTCCGGCCATCTCAGCCACGGGCACCACGTTACCACTATTGGGACTGGAATCAATGCCCTCCCGGTCACCAGCTCCGGCTGCCTCGACTTGCGCTCCCTCCTGGCTCACCAGGGCCTCCTGGTCCCCTTGGGTTGGCTCTGGATCCCCTGTGGCAGACATGATGCGTCAGCGCCTCAATTGGGGTGGCGACCAGGCTGAGGTGACGACGGTGAAGACGGTAGCTGCTGAGGTGGCTGCGGCTGAGGGGAGGCGAGAGGCTGGCTGCTGAGGGAATACGAGTCTGTCTCCTTATTAAGGGAATAAAAGTCTGTCTCTGAGGAGACTCTAAACTGGGAAGGGTAGGGAGCTGATCCCAGGAGCCTCCTGCCAAGGCTGGTCTGAGAGGACTTAGACAGGGAGGGAAAGATTCTCGTTGGCAGGCAACAGGGGGCGGCCGGAAGTGTCAACAAGGGGAGGGTTCTCAGTGAGTTCTAAGCTCATTTGCTGAAAACTTTAGATTGACATGCTCTGTGTCCAATGAGTGATCAACACCCTTAAGCTCTAGGACAATTCAGAATCCAGAGCTTTTTCTTCTTTCCTTTTTCTTTTCTGTTAGAATCTCGCTCTGTCGCCCAGGCTGGAGTGCAGTGGCATGATCTCGGCTCACTGCAACTCCCCCCTCCTGGGTTCCAGTTGATTCTCCTGCCTCAGCCTCCTGAGTAGCTGGGAGGGACTACCGGTGCACACCACCAAGCCCAGCTAATTTTTGTATTTTTAGTAGAGACGAGGTTTCACCATGTTGGCCATGATGGTCTTGATCTCCTGACATTGTCATCCGCCAGCTTTGGCCTCCCAAGGTGCTGGGATTACAGGTCCAGGGCTACCTTTTAGGTCCACACAAGTCCAGGGCTACCTTTTAGGTCCACACAAGTCCTGCCCTTTTAATTTTATGATTATTAGCAACACTATAGTGGTCCAATGTGGAGACACCCTGGAGCATGTGAACTGCAAGGTGTCCACAGAGTTCACTTATTTCCACCTAGTAATGGCTCATGCCAGTAGAGACAGGGTCATAAAAATGTTATATAGCTCAGACCTAAGCAGTTGTGAAAACCTCCCAAGAAGAGAGGTAAGATTTAACGTAGTTAAAGCTGCTTAGAAAAGAACGTGCAGAGTTGAAATGGATGCAGTCAACACTGAGTGTTGAGGTGGTTGTTGAGGTGGTAAATGACAGACACTGGAAGGTGTTTAACGAATCCTGCCAAATTCACTTCAAACCTCCGAATAATGAAAAAAAAAAAAGTTTCTTTTTAAAAAGGACCAGGTCATCTCATAAGAGCTAAGCATAAAAAACACCAGAAGGGCCCAGGCACGGTGGTTCACACCTGTAATCCCAGAACTTTGGGAGGGCAAGGCAGACAGATCACCTGAGGTCAGGAGTTTGAGACCAGCCAGGCCGACATGGTAAAACCATGTCTCTACTAAAAATACAAAAAATTAGCTGGGCATGGTGGCACATGCCTGTAGTCCCAGCTAATTGGGAGGCTGATACAGCAGAATCGCTGGAGGTGAAGGTTGCAGTGAGCCGAGATTGCATCACTGCACTCCAGCCTGGGTGACAGAGTGAGACTCCATCTCAAAAACAAAACAAAACAAAACAAAACAAAACAAAACAAAACAAAACAAAACACCAAAAGAACAGGCTTCCTAGGGTGTTTCAAGCAACAGCCCAAGACTTTTTGTTGATTTCAAGACCCACTTAACCAAGATTCAAGTGGTAAGTAATTCTGAACATTCTGGAGAAATCAATGTTATTTTATATTCATTTTATGAACTTTTTTTTGTCACACTACAACTACTCTGAAAAAAATAGCAAGTAGCATATTTCATGTATTCAATTCAGGAATAGTAATATCATTAAATCTCATCAAGATGAGCAGGACATTTTTTTTTTCCTTTCATGAACTCAATCAAATTTCAGTGTTTCTATTTTTCTTTAGTTTCACCTGAAAAAAGGAGCATAGTGCTGTCATAAACCATTGGTTTAAATCTGGAAGACAATGTGGAAAGTTCCTAATCCAAAATACTCACTATAAAGACAGCAAAACCGAGGCAGAACCCCAATCTGAGGTCTAGAGTTGGCTTTAATATTTGCTTCCTGATGTGAAGTAGGGAAAGTTACTTATTTCCAGGCCTTAGTTTTATCATTTGTGAGGTTAGGATAATGATTCCCTAGCTACCTCACGAGGCTGATTTGAGAATCAGGTAAGATAAGACTTAGGAATTCTCTCTAAAAAAAAAAGAATCAAGTAAAATAATAGGGTGAAAGCCCTTTTCATACTGTAAAATGCTATACATGTATATGATTACATCAACAATAATTTTTCCTTGTACTTAAATTATTGGAAAGAAGCTATCAGGTATAGTTGGCCCTCTGTATCCATGGATTCTGCATGAGTGGATTCAACTAAATGTGGATCAAAAATATTCAGAAAAACATTGCATATGCACTGAACATGTGCAGACTTTTCTTCTTCTCATTATTCCCTAAACAGTATAGTACAACAACTATTTAAATAGCATTTACATTGTATTAGGTATTGCAAATAATCTAGAGACGACTTAAGGCATACGTGATAATGTGTGTAGGTTATATGCAAATACTATGCCATTTTGTATCTGGAGCTTGGGCATCTGCAGATTTTGGTATCTTCAGGAGGTTTTGGAATCTATCCCCCATGGTTAATGAGGGATGACTAGTCTCTCAGGCCTTCAGAGAACCCTCTAATTTGGATTTGGAGGAATCAGATTTTTCCTATCTATCTACATGGAGTTATATACTCTCCTGGCTAAGTACATACCCTGACTTCAGTCAAGATTTGAGTGAAATAGGTAGGTGGAATGAGATGGGTTTATATTTATGATATTAACTATTTGTTGAAAATATTTTATCAGTTTGATTTTGCCTTCTAAGTTGGTTAATGTTTCCAGGTATTTAGTTTTTCATTTATATGTTGCAATTTACTTTTAATGTTAACTTCATTATAAATTTGCAAATCTTCTTGTACAGAGAATTTTTATCTTATATTTTCTTTTTGGGGATCCTCTTAATGTTTACCTTTAGCTCCTTAATCGATAGTGTGAGATTAAAGTCTCAGATGATTTTTATTTTGAATGGCTCACTTATAGCACCTCATATTGAATAACTCTTCCCGTCTATACTGATATGTGGCCATGTGCTCTTTAGCATTTTCTATAAAGGTAGAAAAAATGCAAGAGAAAATTCATTTTCCCCAAATTTCAGAACTTGAAATGGCCTTTAGCTATTGAGTCCAAGCTTATTCTTCAAGTGGAAAAATTAAGGCCTGGAGTAGTTAACTGGCTTTCCAATGTCATACTACTCAATGGAGGAGCCAGGAGTAGAACCAACATCTTCTGACCTTTAATCTGAAATTGAGACAGGAATGCTTATTTTACATACAGCTTCAGGGGCAACTTGACAGCACAAGGTTAATTACCCAGACAAATAAATGGCTATGAGTTGAGGGTCTCTGAAATTCAGACAAGCCTGTACTCCTGACTCTGAATCAATCAGCAAATATTTACTAAACACTTACATGCAATGCCTCATGTAAGACCTTGCTAGGGACAGAGAAATAGGTGCCACCACCTCTGGAAATAAGGATCTCATAGTCTAGCTGGGAGAAAGGATTGTGTGTTGAGAAGGGAGGTAAAAAAGCAGTACCTGACGTTCAGAGCTGGCCTGGCACTCATAGCTAAGCCATCTTTTTTTCCTACTCAATATAAACAATTGCATAGAACACCAACATCTCACAGGATCACTCTGTGTCTATGATAAAAAGAAACAAAGCAAGGCCACTTTATAATTTCATTCAAGCAGAGAAAAATGAAGTCACAAAATACTAAACAAAATACTAAGCTTAGGTTGTCTTGATTAAAATGGGTACCACTTCTTTACCAATTACAGCTTTATACTGGTTCTAATATCCCCTCTCTATAAATAATATTTATCAAAATACCAATCAGAACTGTACCCACTTTCTGATAGCATTTAATCTAGAGCAAATCCTCACTTTGTTCAAAACTTCCTCATATGCTAAGCTTTGGAATTGGGGAAGGAAGTGATATTGCCTCTGGCAAGAAAATAGGCATAGGGGATTTGATAGAAGTCTTGGGGTGAGGAAGGTGTCTAATGGGGCACCCTTGGTTTCTGCTACAATGCTATCACCAGGACTGGCTCTACTCTGTCTTAGCGAAAACAAATACAGTCAGGTAGATGGTTTTTGTATACTTACAGTATTCCTACTGTTTTTTCTTTTACCTCCTTTCTGTGTATGTCCATCCATTTTTGTTTCATAACTTTGAACAAGACCATTACTATTCACTTTAAAGGAGCATGTTACCAAAAAAACCCAAACCAAAAACCACATAAGTGTCTTCCTACATCATGAAGAACTGGAGTGTCCACTTGAAGGTACAGGACAAATACACCAGACTCTAGTCATTCAATCATTCATTGAGTATATATCTATCACCTACTATATGCCTGGAGTTATGTCAAGGACTGGGGACACATTGGTGCTTAAGATCCATGGCTTGATCTATCTAGTTCATGGTCTACAGGGGAAGACAGACATTTGGATAATGATGACACAAGGTGTCAAGAACTGTAACAGGGATGAACACAAGGTACTATGGGATCTCATGAGAGAGAATGATTAGCTAAGGCTGAGGGGATGGTAGGGAAGGTGGGTTGGTGACTGGGAAGGTACTCAAGAGGGGGCATTTCAGCTGAGTCCTGAAACTATGAGTTTAGCCAGCAATAAATATTGTGGGGAAGTCATTGCAAGTAAAGGAAGCAGCATGGATAAAGGCAGAGGTATGTGTATATTGGTCCAAGGCAATGAAATGGCTGGAGCATTGGGCAGAGTGGCAGATGGGCCTTTAAAGCAGGTGGGGCTGGGGATGGATACTCCATTCTCCATGATGTGCTTATTTCACATTGCATATCTGTACCAAAACATCTCATATATCCGATAAATATATACACCTAATATGTACCCACAAAAATTAAAAATAAAAGAAATAGAAAAATAAAGCAGATGGGGCAATGAATAATGAATGCTTCTCTAAAGAGTTTGCCCTTTGGCCTGAAAGGG